TTGAAAAGGTATAAAATCAAATTTCACACATTTTTCTTGTTCGCAAAAGTTGTCTAGCTTGTTTTGTTTTTGAGATATGTGCCTTTAAAAATGGCGCGCCTCCGGCGCACAGAAGGAGGGGGGGGGGGGGGGGGGGGAGGGGCAACTTTAAAGGCACATAACTCAAAAAGCAGAATTGCTAAAAAAAAGTTGTCAATTACAAAAATAAAGTTCTTTTTTTGCTCCATAATTTTCTATTAATCTCAAGACAATCAAACAATTTTGACCTAGTTTTTTAAAGGCTTAAACTTTGGTATTCCTAGAGTTATGGTATTCCTGGCTATATTTCTTCCGAGTGTCCGTATTCAACTGTTCTTGTTAGATTCGCCTTCTAAAACTTTCGAAAATTGGTGCTAAAATTCCGAAAAATGCTCTAAACTGAAGAAAAAAATTTCAGGACCCGGTCTCCTTATCGATCCATTCACCCGAGACGTTTTCCATTTGGCCAACGCTTTTATGATTTTCATGGAAAACTTGGTGATAATCGAAATCGAGGGAGACCATCGGAGTATTTTTGACCTGGAGAAGGTAACGAATTATTTTTTGAAAAATGTTCATAATTGCAAAGAGAATGAGCTAAACTACCCAAAACTGCTAGAAAATTTATCAAAATGTTTCAAAACTGTTAAGAAATAGAAGCGAACCCAAAATTTGAGCTCAGTTATCTCGATTCTTCAGAAAGATATCGAAAGCTTGCCAATTGATAAAATATTAGTGATATTTTGATGAATAATTTATCAGTTGACATAATTTTGATATCTTTCACAGTAACCAAAATAAATTGACTCAAAATCGAAAAGTTGCCGCTGAGCTATTATGTCGCTATCCGACCTCTCAACTTCAAGCTACTTTTTCTAGGTTCCTGTGAAAGATATCAAAAAGTTGTCAACTTATAAAAAATTTGTGATGTTATGATAAACATTTTGTTAGTTGGACACTTTTTGATGTATTTTACAGGAAATGAGATAAATTGAGTAAAATTTGTCAGCTTGGGAAAGGGCTTCTAGGAGAAAAAAAGGGGCGGGGCTTCTTATGGGAGGTTAATTTCCCAAACTTTTGGTCATTTATAGCAACATTTTGAATTTTTTTTGATATATATTTTTGCACTTTTGAAACCCAGAGTTTTAATATTTTGAGACAAAGCCAAATTTTCACATACCATATGTATTTCATAGAAGCTCACCGAAATCGCCAACTTTGAGGACATATATCTCATTTCCTGTAAAAGATATCAAAAAGTTATCAACTGATAAATTGTTTGTCATGATATGAGCAATATTTTATCAGTAGACAACTTTTTGATACCTTTCACAAAAAAGGAGATATATGAGCTCAAAGTTGACAACTCGAGTGGGCTTCTAGAGAAAAGGAAATAGGGTATTTGTAGAACCCATTTTCAGAGAGTTTGGAACTTTATGAACTATCTTTATCCGTGTTTCTGTGTTTCTTGTCAATTTCAATTTTTCATTTTCGAAACTACTCAAGGAGAAATTGGGGTGGCAATTATCCCTTAAAATTGCCCCGTTAAATTTTAGAGACCATAATTTTCCCAATGACTTTCTTATTATTTTGGTCTCTGACTCACATCAAATCTTGGTTCTTCATTTTCTCTGGTCTTGTTTTTCCCAAAAGAAAACACCACAAGTTAATCCATCGTCATCCACTTGAAACATTGAAAAATCTCTTTTTTTTTCGTCATCAAATATCAAGGTCATCCCCCTGAAGATTCCAGTTATAGTGCCCCCATGAACACATCCGCGTCAAAAAAAAATGTTTTAACTTATTTTTCCCCTTTTTTTTGGCGATTTTCCCTTCTGAAGGACATTTTCTCTCTCTCTCTCTCTCTCTCTCTCTCTCTCTCTCTTTCAGCTGATTTGGATTTTTTCTTTATTTTCAAGGTTACCAAAGCGGGGTCCGTCTAGGGGGGAAGAACAAGAGAACTGGATATTCTCAAGGCTAAAAATTAGAGAAACTTAAAGGGACATGACGGGGGGGGGGGGGAGGAGGGATGAATAATTTAGTGTGTGTCCCGTCCCCCCCGAAAAAAATCAGTTTTTCATTGGCAAGTTTTTTTGACTTCCCATTTTTCGCATTCCATTTTGTTCCGTCCGAAATTTTGGAATCATTTTTTTCAGTTCAATTTTTTTTTCTGAAAATTCCAAGTCCCAAATAAGCATTTTCTCCAAAAATAGTTTTCAAAAAAACATGTTTTTTTTCCCGAGAATCATACTCAAAAAGTTATGTCTTCTAGGTTTTGAACACTACTTGAAATAGGTCAGTGGCCTAGAAATCCAAAATTCGGCTATGAAACTTGAATTTTTGAAATCAACAAGTCAAGAGCTTCAAAATGAGTATAACCATGACTAGGTCCTAAAAATTTTTACCAATGGCCGACTTTTCGGAATTTCTAGGCCACCAAAATCCTATTTTTTCAAAACCATTTAACTCTGCTCAAAATCAACCAATTTTTATGATTTTTGGCTTCAAATGTAAAGTTTTTCAGTATAAACATGAACACGTTTTCAAATTAACCATTGGTGGCCGATTCTTCTAAATTTCTAGGTCATGAAATAGCCACTGGTGGCCTAGAAACCCACAACTCGGCCGTGAAACTTGAATTTTTGAATTTAGCAAGTCAAGGGCTTTCAAACGAGTATAATCATGACTATGCTTAGAAAACTGCTACCGGTGGCCGACTTTTCTAAAATTTCTAGGCCAGCAAAACCCTATTTTCTCAAAACTCTGTAACTTAGCTCTAATTCAATCGACTTCTAGAATTTTTCGCTTGAATTTCAGGGCTTTTTTAGTGTAATTATAACCATGTGGACAAATTTGCTATCGGTGGTCCAGTTTTTGAAATTCCTGGGCTATAATACAAGCACCCATGGCCTAGAAACCCAAAATTCGGCAACGAAGCTTAAATTTTTGAATTAAGCATGCCAAGAGCTTCAAAATGAGTATAATCATGACTAGGTTCTAAAAATTTTTACCAATGGCCGACTTTTCGGAATTTCTAGGCCAGCTAACCCTTATTTTCTCAAAACCCTGTAACTTTTCTCAAAATCAACAGATTTTAATGATTTGTGCCTGAACAGTTTGTATATATTTTATATTTTCTAAAACGTTCACTTTTTCTCAAAATTTTCGGTTTTCTAAAAATTATATAAAAGTAGCTGAAAATTCCCAAAAAAAAATATTTTTCAGAAAAAGATGCTCGGTAAAGATATTCGATGTTTCTTGGATTTCGAATCAGCTTCAAAATTGTCATTTCTGGACCCTAACAACCTTCTTTTGGCTCAAATCCAGTTGAGCAGTTTTCTAGCAAAGTCCATGTCGTGTAAACTTAAAAATTCAGCGGAGGTAATTAATTGAATTAAATTTTCCGATTCCAAAAATATTTTTTCAGAATCCCTCAGAATCAGTGCTTGTCTGTGTTCCCCATGAGCTCAATCAAATCGAGCCACGCCCACTTTCAGAAGCTCCGCCCCCAACGACAACTCAAATGACGCCTCCAAAATCACCACCTCCATCGAAACTAGAAGTGGAGAGGCCGATTTTAGCGGCATTGCTCAGAAAAAAGGATCCACCGAAGGTTCTAGAAGCTTCCTCGACGTCTTCTTCAACATTCCTCTCACCAACATCATCCACAACGTCTACAGTACCCCAAACTATAAAAACTACAGTATGCAGAAAGATTGAGCCGAAAAAGCGAAAAAGGATTAGATCAATGAATGTGATTGTTGAGAGTTTTCCACTTGACGTAGAAGAGAAGCCCCCGAAGAAAATGAGAAAGAGGTTAGTGGCCTAGAAAATTAATTGGTGGCCTAAAACCCCGAAATTTGGCCATGAAACGTTCATTTTCAAAATCAGCAGGTTAAGACCTTCAAAATGAGCATAACCATGACTAGGTTTGAAAAACTGTTACCTGTGGCCGAGTTTTTGGAATTTCTAGGCCACCAAAACCCTATTTAACTTTGCTATGTAAATTTGCTCAAAAATCATGACTGGGGATCCTGAGTATGTCACAGGTTGCTTAGTTTTCTGAATTCCAAGACCATATAATAGACCCGCATGGCCTAGAAACCCAAAATTCGTCCATGAAGTTTACATACTTGAATTCAGCAAGTCAAGAGCTTCGAAATAAGTATAATCACGACTAGGTTCAAAAAACTGCTACCGATGGCCAACAGTTCAGAATTTCTAGGCCAGCATCCCCCACAAATTTTCAAAACCTTGTAACTCTGCTCAAAATCAACCGATTTACATGATTTTTAGCTTAAAATGTATGGCTTTTAAACAATTTCGGACTGGTTAATGAAAGTTCAGAAAATCCGAGCCAGCTCCAATTCCAATTGCACCGATTCCAGTCCACACTCAACCAGTGGTCCATCCGATTCCAATCCAAAACTATGGAATGAGCCCATTGGACATTTTGTCTCCGGGATATCGAGATGTAAGATTTTGAACAATAAATTTAGGTTGATAATCTCAGAATTTTAGAATCTCAGAATCTTAGAATCTTAGAATCTAAGAATCTAAGAATCTTAGAATCTTAGAATCTTAGAATATTAGAACCTTAGAATCTTAGAATCTTAGAATCTTAGAATATTAGAACCTTAGAATCTTAGAATCTTAGAATCTTAGAATCTTAGAATCTTAGAATCTTAGAATCTTAGAATCTCAGAATCTTAGAATCTTAGAATCTTAGAATCTTAGAATCTTAGAATCTTAGAATCTTAGAATCTTAGAATCTCAGAATCTTAGAATCTAAGTTTATAATTTTTATAATTTCCAGATCTGGCTCCGCCTCCAAAGCGAGCGTGTCCTTCTAGAGGAGCGAATTTCAGCCAAAAAAGGGGAATTGACGAATTTGATGTCTCAATCGCCGAATTTCAATCTATTAAGTATCCCTCAATATTTTGTACCCCCTAGCTCGAATATTTAGATAATTTTTTAAAAATATTATCGATTTTTCAAACGGGTTAGCTTCAAATGAACATATTTATTATTAAAACTTGCTGTAATAAGTTCAAAACTGCCATTGATACCCATAAGGGTTATTGTAGTTATTGCCAAAATCATATTGTGGATTCTGCGGAGTCCAGTACTGTAAATTTGGGTCAAAATTTTGATGATTTTGGAAATTCTGGAGGCCCTCAAAATTCTGGAAATTCTGAATTTGCTGAAATGGATAGCTAGGCGTTTGGGAAGAGAATGGAGGCAGATTTTGAGAAGGATACTGTAATTCGTTTGTCCTATTCTTGCCCAACATCTGCCCATCAGAAGAGGATTCAGAAGACAGCGTGGAATCTGGAGACGATTGAGAAGACGTTGTGGATGGTGGACGTTTAGCTGGAGGCTGTACACTTTTGACACCTTCTCGAAATCCTTGAGCGAATTTGTTCTTTTGGACTTTTAGATTTTTCACTTTTTCGCTCTGAATATAGATTTTCAGGTCAGCTTTTAGGATTTTAAGCCTACTTGATAAGCAGTGACAGCGATGAACTTGGTTTCTGTGAACTTGTACTTTCCGATTTGCATGTGTGCTCCATTAGGAAGATCCTCATAGATATTGAGAATGGGGATGTATTGACGCATGGATTGGACGCGGATCTGTAAAAGCTGATTTTTGAAACTTTTAAAAAATACAGAACAAACTTAAGGCTTCATTTAGGCATTTGACAACTTTTTTCTAGCTACCGTAGTTTTACAGATATGCGCCTTTAAAGTAGGTGCTCCCTTCGTCAGGCGCCTTGTAGAGAGGAGGGGGGGGGGCTACTTTAAAGACGCATATCTCAAAAAGTAAAAAAAAAAGATAGACAATTTTTGTTAACTTGTAAAATGTTTAAAATTAAATTCTACATATTTTATTTTTCTTTGGAAAAATTGTCTAGCTACCGTACTTCTTGAAACATGCGCCTTTAAAGTAAGCACTTCCTTCGTCAGGCGCCTTCATAAATGGCGCGCCATTAGTTAAAGGCGCATATCGCAAAAACTGCGGTAGCTAGAAAATTTTTGCTAATTACTAAAATGTATAAAATTGAATTCTAAATATTTTTTGTTTGCAACAGTTGTCTAGCTACCGTAGTCTTTGAGATATGCGCCTTCAGACCACCGCCCCCTCTTGGCACCGAGGTGACCTATGCTTAAAGGGGCAAATCTCCAAAACTAAAACAGCTAAAAATGCTTTGTTAATTACTAATGTGTAGGAAATCAAATTTCTCACATTGCCACCGTAGTCTTTGAGTTATGCGCCTCAAAGTGGGGCACTTCTCTTCTTCTGCTGTCCGGCACAAAAACATCCAATATTTAAACGCGCATATCTCCAAAACTACTGTAGCTAGAAAAAAGTTGTCACCTACAAAAATAATTCGTTTTTTTATTTTGCGAAAATATTTATTGTTGGGTTACGGTAGCACTCGTTTGCCGGGTGTGTTTTCGAAAATTCTCCTTGAAATACGGTGGCCTAACTTGTGTGAAAATTCGGCCACAACTCCAATTTCTTTGCACAAGAATAATACTTCAGACACCTAACCATCTAAAACCTTTCACACCCTTTTCTTCTTTTCCTATTCAAATAGCTATTCGCTTATTGGTCCCCCATTTCATTTTATACCCCTGTTTTCCTAAAAGCAAAGTTATCACCCTCTGTCCCTTTAAACCAAAACCACCTGTCCCCCAAATTTTGTCACCCATGTTTGCATACATACACTCATCAATTAGCAGAAAACAAAAGGATTGAAAGGGTAGTCCGGGGTCAAAAAGTCAGACAAGTTAAGGGATATGCGCCTTTAAATCCGTCTGATGAATGCGTTTTGGGGTATTCTATGCCTGAAACCCTCAAAAAAGCTCTCACCGTATTTCCTCGAATAGAAGCCTAACCTATACCTTAACTTTAAACTCAATTATCTCGGTTCCTATAAGAGATATTAAAAACTTGTCAATGAATAAAATTTTTTATCATATTATCAGCAACATTTTATCAATCGACAGATTTTTGATATCTCTCATAGGAACTGAGATAATTGAGTTCAAAATGCTTACTGTATTTGCCTATTCTAGATCTTCCAATGGCTAACTTCTTGCCTTCTGGGCATACCGAAAACAAAGAAAAAGACAATGACCTCAATTATATAGTGATAATGGTAGGTGCTAGTGCTAATGTATACTATGTATGTCTGGCTGGTCCGTTCTGGCCTGGAAAATGTCCACAACCTCGATAAAAGTTTTTTGGTGCTAAAAATCCAAAAATCCGAAAAATTCCAAAACTTGCATAGCTAATATACTTTCAAAAATGGTTCTAAGAGACCTAAGCCATGGGATTTTTCAAATTTCAAACCACTGCAATCAAATCTATAGGTTCTCTTACCATTTGATCATTTTTCTGAACAGCATCCTTGGAATTGGTGAGCTTCAATTTTTCAAGTTTCAGCCCACGATGAAGTAGCTCTCGGCCTGAAAACTTTTAATTTTGGGATTACGTATATTGTTATGCTAAGCAATTTTGTTCTGAACATTTTTTATCTAGCTATCGTAGTTTTTGAGATGTGCGCCTTTAAATTTGGTGCGTTTCCCCCTCTCTTCAAGCGCCGAGCAAAGAGAGGCGCCAACTTTAAAGGCGCATATCTCAAAAACTACACTAGCTAGAGAAAATTGTCAACAACAAA